ACAAGAACAATGGTCATGTATTGTGACATGAAGCCCAGTTTTCCCTCATATCTCCAATGGTGATATGGCTAAAGGAACCTATACTTTGCGTACAAAAGACTCATATACTCGATATGGAATAAACAGAAAGAAAAATTCTTCCAGCTCGATTTCAGCAAATTTGTTGGTTGATTTATGAATGTGATCCTATATAAAACAAGCGTGTTCGTAAAACTGTGTGGGCTGTAAATAAGCCTAAAAAAAGTCCTTCAAAATTACGTCTTCTGTTTTACAAAATTTATTGCAGGAAAATCTCGTTTCCAAAATACAGCTATGCCAGTCCGTATATTTTCGCGACTTAAAACACATCATTTAAAGCTTAGTTTAATTTTAAAGAATAAGTAAACGAAAACTTACTTGCTGTTGTTGGTTCAAGTAAGAAAGCAGCTGGGGTGATGGCTGAGGCATTTGCTTTGTTTGCATTGGTTGCTTTTGTTGTTGTTGGTTCTGTTGCTGCTGTTGTTGTTGTTGCATAAGCAACTGGTGAACATTTGGTATACCATATTCAGAATAGTCGCGCACACGAGGGGGTTCGGCAAACAAAGTAGGTGTTGCTCGTCGTGTCAGACTATTGGTGGAAGCAAGCGATGCCGTGGGATTGTACTGTCCATACCCGAGCGGTCCAAGGCTAGGCCCACCGATAAGTCCGGATATAGGTCCGGCAAGCCCACTAGCGCCTGTGTCATCATTTCCAGTAACTGTGGCGGAAGCACCAGGAACATTTAGAAGCTTTTCTTTAAGTGAAGATGTGATTACTGCAGTAAGACCCGATACGGTAGTTGAAGTCGATACCGTCAATCCCTTCCCTGGTGCTATGAGGGACTCATTACAAGCGCTAACACTACCAAGACTGGAAGCAGGAGCAACGTTATCCATGGATCGAGAACATAGGCCAGGCTCGATGCCAGGCACTGGCGGTGTCAAAAGCCGGCTAGTGGGCAGAGCAAAGTGACTACTTGGAGGTAGATCGTAAGGTATCTCGATCGGACAACCAGGAGAGAATGCTGTTGCTTGAGCAAAAACAAGATATTTAATATAAAAATTAAATTGATTAGGGCCATTCATCTGTCAAAGTTTATCGAACTAAACTATCCGAGTATATAGAAAAAAGTCAAAATACTCACATATATTTTGGGGGATAGAACGGAGGGGTCCCGAAGTGAGTGAATCAAATGGGGGCCCACTATTAGCCTGCTCGAAGTAGTTTGAAGGGTCTGGAGAACAGACCTGTCTGATATGGTCACCAGATGAAGGAACCGTGAGCGACTCTTCATGTTGGTCGTGCAATTGATGCATTTGGAAATCGTGGTGCTCACGAAGGTGCTGCTCTTGATCAACATTGTTGTCGAGTTTATGCGCATAAGCATGCTTATTGTTGATGTTGTATGAGTGTTGAGCAGGGCTGGAGATCACCTGGCCAATTTGTGGCGATTGACTACTCTCGTGTGACCCTGCCGTTATCGATTTGGAAGGGTCAAAGCTATTTGGTTGACCTTCAGCTTGACAGGTGGCTCCAGATGCCATTGCCAGACTTGCAGTACGGCGCCTACGACGGCGATGATGCCTAAGAGAAGAGAAAAATGGTAAAATAGGTAAGAGCGAAGATATTAACAATGAAAGCAACTGATGTGAAAAGGAGAATGAAAAATGAAGATTCTTATTCCAAGAAAATGTGCCCAAAAATAATAAAATGTATAAATTATTTGGAAAAGCAAAAGGACAACGAAATAAATATAGAATTATTGAAAAACAAGAAGATTGAAATGGAAATATTAGTGAGGGATAAAATAATTAAGACGGTAAGACATAATAAGAATAGAGGATACAGATGAGAAAGACAAATTGGATCATATATATGACATAGGCAGTGATCAAACTATCTTCACCTTATCCGGATTTAGAATAAAAATGTTCTAAATTGTCATACGCTTATAGCGGAAGGCATTGTCTCTCAAATAATAAGCCTTTCGATCTGGGGCTAAAAAGCAATGAACAAACTGGCTTTAAATGTGTAGTTACTTTAAAAATGGCGGAACGAGAGAAAAATTACGCATTATAAGCAGAGTTAACGTTAGCACGCACGCTATTATGCGCCTAAAACCAAATTAAGTTAATACGTAGAAAAACTGGGTTTCGAAGAGCACCTTAATAGAGTGATGTTGAAGTTGGACCAGACTTATCAGGTTAAAATAGGAGTTATGAAATCTTAAATAAAAAGGAGTCTGCGTCTGGCAAATGTTAAGCATCAGGACCAGGACCACATAGTGCCTATGTAGGAGAAATCTGTAAACCCATACATAAGAGGTTATCCAAATACAAAGCCTGCAAAGGGATGTAAGTCTGAAAATTCGAATTAGCCGAACACATGGCTCGCACAAGACACCATATAGATTGGTATAATGCCAAACGATA